TAGTGATGGAATGGATTTTTGCAGCTTTTGTGAACAGCTTTATTATATGTCTAATGCCAAATATGAGGTTAGATTTTATCCTTTTCTGTGATTTTCCATTTTCATTATCCATAGCTAATAGAGTTTCGGCATCAGAAAAGGTTTTGTCTGGCAAAGGCAATTCCTGTTGAAAAGTCTATCTTTGCTCAGGTGTTTCATAATATCAGTACTATTGTTGATGTTAATACTACTAATTTCACAGAACAGTTGAGGTTGGAAGGGACAACTGGAGATCATCTAGTCTCAGCTCAAGCAGGGTCGCCGAGAGCACTTTGCCCAGGACGGTGTCCAGATGGCTTTTGAATATCTCCAAGAAAGGAGACTCGACAACCTCTCTGGGCAACCAGTTCCAGCGCTCAGTCACCCTCACAGTAAAAAATGATACCATTGGCCTTCTTTGCCCACGAGGGCACATTGCTGACTTATGGTCAACTTGTTGGTCCGCCAAGACCCCCAAGTCCTTCTCTGCAGAGCTACTTTACAGCTATAATGCAGTCCTGTCCAATCCTTTAATGTATGTTATAGGAATGCAGAAAAGAGACAATCAAGATTGTGTCTAATTGTGTGAAGCTCTGTCTGAAAGCAAGGTAAGAGATTTAGGCAGACCCAACTGGAGATGTAGACAGGGGTAGCAGAGCCCCAATAACCACCCATGTCTCCAGAGTGGTATCCTCTCTGAATGCAGCCTGTGTCTGCAAGTAGAAACTTGCATATCTTCCATATCTCTGTGATACATAAAATACGAACACAGGAAGTTGAACCACGTTATCTAGCACATGATCAAATGCTGCTGTATTGCTCTGCAGCCCTCTTTTCAAGCAAGTCTAACCAAGGGAGATTTTTACTTTGGTTGTTCTATAGCAGTGTTGCCGGAGTGTGCATTTCCCTTCCCCAGGCTTCCTGTGCTACTTAGCAGGGCCATAGCATTCCTCCTGTCTGATAGCTGCCACACCTGGAGCATCTGCTCTCTTTGCACCTTCCAGATGTATCAGCTTCTTCCTATCTTGTTTTCATTTCCAGTACTTTGGCATCTAGTTTCCTATATGCTGTTTTCTCCCACTGTTTCTGCGAGTTTGTCCAAACAGATGAATTGCCACAATTTAACATACCGGTTCAACCGTGGTAATTCTGCATACCCTTACTGATGCAAATATGAGTTTAAACTTTCTAGATTAAGCCTCTTTCATAACATAGATGTAAATGGGGTGGGACAGATAGATGCAAACTTGTTCTGTCTACAAGCCTGCTTTGCTCTAGAAGCTATTTTCAAGCTAATATATTCCATCTTTCACTAAACTGCAGTTATTTGATGTGCCTAGCCTCTTCCCAGTAAATCCAATGGCAGTTCTCTTTCTCCAACAGCATTGAATATTTAGAAATGGCATGGTGCAATTGTCGTATTCAAGGTGCAAACAAAGAGGAAAGCATACACATCTGTGAGACTAAAACCAGTTAATAACTGTAGTACCATTGATGCAAGTTCATCTGCAGTTACAAACAAGAGTACATTACATGGAAATTCACCTCAGGCCTTAAG